ATACGAACACCAGTTTGAACTGAAAACAGTGAATTTGCAACAGTCGGTAAACGAATTTTGTTCAATTTAAGACATATGTTCGTGACGTCACAACAAATATATTTTCAGTCATTTTGACTTACAGAAAGGAAGAGAAGGTAAGGTTTCTGGGCTCCATTGACACTGACATTTCGTTGTTTAGTGAAGAAATTCTTTCTTCAACACCAAGCTGTCGTTCGTCATGAAAAAGGAGTAACGAATTCCACCTCAGTGATGTGCGGAGGGGAAATATGTTTGTAATCGACACGGAGATTCGTAATTAAAGAAGGTTGGTCTTATGACAGGAAACGGGTCTATTAGAGGTTCTTAATGTGTGTTCCATATAAGATGACGAGTTATTACGCTTTCAACAAAAAACAAGTCACTTATTTCTTCTCCATGCCTTCAGTACGAAGGCGCAAGAAAGTACTTATTACGTAGGTTAGTTTCGCCCTACTCTGCTTCCCGTATTTGCACCAAGCTCTGCAGCGTCCGCTCTGACAGTACACGATGTAATTCAACAGCAGCCTGAGGTTCATCTAAATACTGCTTCAAACAGTTCCTACTGCGCAGAAAACACCGCGTCTCCGTTACAAAGGCCAGCCACTTAATGCTGTTTAGGGAAGCAACTGTTACTTATTGTGAGAATAACATGATAACTCATATTATGTGAGCAAAACTCACATTGTATATATGTACATGTTACCTATTTCAAGCGGTTTCCTATATAGAGCTGTTTCACTGTACAGTACAGACGAGCAACACGCCATGTCCTCACACGAGTTGCACCGAGATAGAGCTATTTCACTGTACAGTACACTGTACACCGTACAGACGAGCAACACGCCATGTTGCAAACTGCATCGATGTTGACGGAGTAATTTTCGAAACATATTTAACTAGGTAAACTGTACCAACTTTGTCACTTGAACGACAAATATCAGTATTAGATACAGTAAGTAATATCTCTTATCAACAGTTTTGGAACTGGTGAGGCACACAGGAAATTATCACAATCAATAGAACTCCTTATGCCTTCGAAGTCTCAAGGAAAGGAGAAAAAGTGAGAAGAGAGAGTGAATGAGGAACTAGTGAGGCACGAAATCTTACGATGGGAAAAGGCAAATTTCCGACCAGAGAAGGTAAAGCGTTACAAAGTGAAGAAGGTAAAGATTTTGGGAAGAGGACTTTGTTATGAGCAGGCGAAAGAGGTTGAGAAGGCGCTCTGCCCCTTTCGTTCAGAACTGTATTTTTGAAATTTGGTAGGCTGTATTAGGGTTAACATGTTTCTTTTAAATACTACTCTCTTCAAGCATTCAGTTCGTACCTCACAGGAAACACATTGCTTCTCTGTTACAAAGCTCAACCGGTTAATAACGTTCAGGGAAACAGTAGCTGTTTATTGTGAGAATCATACACGTCAAAATTAAAGTTATGATACAACCGACGGTTAGTCGGTTAGTCATTCTTGGTGTCAAGCCCCTATCTTGGGTCCAAGACCAGATTTTTATTACTGTTAGCTGCCGGGTTGTCGTTGTGGTTCGCCCTCTCTAACGAGAGGACGGGTCTGTCGTTTACAATTGGGGCTGGTTCTTGCCAGCGTAGTCATTCTCGGGTCCGAGTCCCACGGGATTCATGACCATATTTTACTGTCTAAGATTCGATACTCCCCTAATTTGGGTGTTCATGTCCCCATATTATATCCCCCAGGAAGAGGGTGGCTCAGTTATACCCCCGGGCACGGGTGCCCTTTTCGTCGCTTCCTACGATTCGCAGATCTACGGTGGAGGTATTCGAACACACCTCCATACGGGGAGCCTCCAACCTGTGAGAACCATACGAAACACACAAATACTATATAAAGATTCTTTTCGTACCTCACAGGAAACACATTACTTCTCCATTACAAAGTCCAACCGGTTAATGCTGTTTAGGGAAACAGTCTCTGTTTATTGTGAGAGCCATATGGAACATAAATACAGGCAATATAGTGAAGTCCCTGCGCTTAAGTAATGAAGAAGCACTCCACGAAGACGTATTGGGGGGGGGGGGGGGGGAGATANGAATCGTATAGAACCGGCCCGATGAATTTGCTAATAATTTCGCAGATGATGCATATAACCGCTCACAATTACGACATAATAATCCGTGGGCAGTGCTGAGTCGAATGGTGTGCGCATGATCCGGCAAGTGGCAGCCCTTATGCTGAAAGGTCAAGGTCAATCCCTAAACGTGTCTGCAGTGCGCAGGCGAGTCATGGAGTACACTGTTGAACAGCGAGTGTTTCTAGCGCCTACTTGAAAACGGCGGACACTTTCACCACCTGCTCTGATCACGGCACACAATCCAAGATAAGATATGTGTAAATTACTTTAATATCTGTATGGTATATTTTATATTACAGCTCATTTCGTAGGGCCGGTTCTATATGAATCACCCTGTAGATGGAGATGAATGGTCATTTTTAAGCTCCGGCCGCGTTTCCCTCCAGGAAATAGCTCCCGGTACCTGTTGCATAAGTGTAGCCGGGATGGCGACGGGCTACGAGCTCGACGGCCAGTATTCTATTCCCGGCAGGTGCAAGACTTCACATCTCCACAACGTCGAGACCGGCACTGGTGCCCATCCAGTGGGTACCGGTGACTGCTTCCCCGGGGGAGGCGAGGCGGCCGGGGCTTGAAGCTGACCACTCACCTCCATCAAGTGCCAGGGCCAAGAATGGCGGAGCGATAACTCCACTTTTCCATACGCCTTCATGGCGTGGTGCTTAATTAAATAACCACAGGGACAACTTTACCTTTTATCCGCTGAATAGGGGGCTGGACTGGATCCAGAGCAAGTATGGGCACTGTGGAGAAGAGAATAATCTCTTGCCCCTAGCGAGAATCGAACGCCGATTCCTCGACCATGCATTCTGTATCCCATCGCTATAGCGAAGAACTGTCACTTCTGTATAAATTGCAACAAATGTTACAGCAGGTGGTATGTTTAGTAACAAGGGCCGATGCAACACAGTAGTAGTCACGTGTGCTTCTGTCTGGTCGAACACTTGGGCGTGAATTTTCGTTCCCGAAGAGGTTCCATCGCTTGACCGTGAATTTGAGAACATTATAATAGGACTCCATCACCATAGACGTACGAAATACCGAAAATTTCGTCCTTTATAAAAGTTGGCGTATTTGACAGGATTTGGCGTCTGTTCGGACCAGAAATGCACAATGAAGATGTATGTGGAAGACATCTTTATACCATTGGGTCATGAGAGAACGACATCTGTGAGAACACAAAATGGCGGCTCACACATGTCTTGCTAAATGTGATATCAGTATATCTTGATGCTGTAAGTAGGAACATTTAATTTGAGGTACTCCTAACGGTGTGAAGGGTCATCTGTTCTAGGATATAAACCCATGCAGTCCGTTGGAAGTCACCCGACGTTTCAGAGGAACACGTCGCCTCCAACTTCACGATCGAAGAATAAGCGACAAACGACGGTTAAGCAGGGAGCAAGCAGAGATTGAAGATGAGGAGATATGTTCCTCCGAAACTTTGGCTGACTATCAACGAACTCCACGGCGTTATATCCTAGAACATATGACTCGTCAATTAATCAAGTTCATCGCCAGTATAAGTGATTTTCTTATTACCCACTTGATTCCGTTGGCAGTAGAGTGCTAGGATAGTTGGCGAAGGATGAATTGAAAAGTATGTGAGAGAAAGTGGTCGTGGCTTATTCGAGATACAATCCCGGCACTTGCCTGGATGGGCTGGTATTCTGAGCGATCGCTTCCCTCATCAAAGCAGAATCACTTTTCGCTTGTGTCAACTTTACATGTGTCTGCTAAAGTATTATAGGCGTGGTAGATTTTAAAGGGTTCAGGCAACGGCATTTAACGCTCAGAACTACAGGGTTTTTGGATTTTGTCTATCATTCTTAAAAGCACAGAAAACACATGCTGGATCTGTTTCCGTCCACAGATCCAGTTTCCGAAACATTATGTTCTTTTGTGTTTTTTAGAATACCATACAATGGACGACGTTCAAAAATCTTGCAATTGCGTGTATCCATTTCTAGGCAACGACTCGGTAAACACGTTCCCGCTGCAACGGGTACTCATGCAACAATAGAGATAGTGTTGTGTTCCTACTCGGTCCGTGCAAAGGGGTTATAAGGAGGACAAATCAAGCAAGAAGGAAGGGAGTCACCGTGTAGAGAGGACCTGAGTCTGGACACAGAGGATTTGCGATTGTTAGGACCCGTTACTAGGCAAATACTAGTAAAGACACTGCGGGATAGAAAAGACTTAGCTTGCGCTCTAGTGAACTGCAAAGTGTGGAAATTAGTGATGACGCTGTAATTAAATGTAAACACGAGTTGTGTTAAAGTGATCAGTAAATGCAGTTACCAATGAAATCCCGCCTGTAGTCACACCCACACACGTGACAAATTCTCTTATCTTACGCATCAAGATGAGTTTGTGCTTTGTTTAGTTCGTGGGATGGGGCGAAACTGAGTCCACTTGATAAGTCGGGCACTAATTGGCTTATTGTACTAGCTCCGGATGGTAGATGATGGTGATTGTGGAGCAGTCGGTAGAATGAGAATTGTCAGGGAAAACCAAAATACTCAGAAAAATCTGACCCATTGCCACTTTGTCCACCACAAATCCTACATGGCTGTATCTGGGATCGTAACCGGGCCACCGCAGTAGGAAGCCGGCGACTAACCGACTTAGTTATGGCATGGCCTAGCTTGTGCTTACTATATTCCAGAATAATGAAGCCTTGAAACGTATTTGTGTTGATGTAGGTATGCGTCTATTTGCATAACAATAAACTCAGCTATGCAGTCTCAAACAGCCCAGGCACCAATCCAATTTTGTGTCTTCCAATTAGTCCCATCACATACCTATATTTCCAGCCGTGAGACTGACGGATTTTGCTGTCTGTACCGAACTCCATTGTTTGCTTGATTGTTGCAGACTGGTGCCCGAGAGTGTGTCAGCATGTGATGGTTGACGACAGAGAGCAGCAGCGACTACTGAAGCGTCGTCGGTCGCCATGCCCACCCCCACGGCCGGGGCGCCGCTAGACGAGCAAGAGGACAGAAGTCTGCAGCCTGGCGGCGACAACTCTACCTCGCAGACTGCACGCAGGAAGAGAAAACGGAAGCGAGACGCCCACGAAGACCTGAAGGAGGATTCGGATAGCGAGGCCATGAGTCCAGAGGAGGAGGCGTCTGCATCGCCTCCGGCCGCAGTGATAGCGGGCAGAGACGAGGAGGAGAGGGGAATGTTGTCGCCGCTATCTGGCAGTCAGTTCCTACACGATGACACCGTGCAACCGCCCATGTCTAGGCCTCAAGAGGACGAGGACAATGAGGCATCTTCCGAAGACGAGCGTAACAAGTCCGCGGGAAACAAGTGCAAAACGAAAAAAGGAGGCGAAGTGAGGACGACGACGTCTCCTTCCCGGAACTCGGCTTCATTCACCCTCGACGCTGGCGACGACTCGTGCGGAACCAGCGACGTTGAGAAGTTTGATGGCAAGATCGTGTACAATCCTGATGGCTCGGCGTATATCATTGAGGACAGCGAACTAAGCGAAGAGGACGCCACGAGCCTTGCTGACTTGCCTCAGATTATTGGCGACGGTTGTATCGTGGACGGACGCGGTGTCAGCCTTTCTCAGTCCTTTGTGTTCCCGCAGATAGCCAATGCTTTCTACGTGTCTCGGAACCCCTCCCTTTATAACGCCTTGTATGGGGGCGCTGCAGCTTCCTACGCTGCCAACAGCATCTTGCAAGACAAGAAAATAGTTCCTGAAGTACCTATTATGCATAGTTACAGGGTTTTCACTGTTCGTGATAATAAAAGTGGTGATAGTGATGATGGAAAGGCGGAGCGTAGTGGTAGTGGTGCCAACGAAGGTAAGAAAAACGTGGACAAGGGTAAGACCAAGCAGCTTTTGCTGCAGAAGAAGAACGAAAAGTATTCCGGTAAAGACTGCTCATCTGTTCCTGTAAAACCCATTCTAATGTGTTTTATATGTAAACTGTCTTTTGGGTATGCAAAATCTTTCGTGGCGCATGCCATGGGCGATCACAATGTGGCCCTGCTGGAAGACGAGAAGGACATTCTCGGGCACAAGAACGCGTCGGCCATAATTCAGTGCGTAGGGAAAGACAAGGAGCCGCTGGTGTCGTTCCTGGAGCCACTGTCGCCAGTGACCGTGGGCCTGGACAAGCCGGTGCAGCGGGACCGAGCATTCAGCGAGGAAGACGTCAAGCATGAGAAGGAGGACGCTCAGAGAAGCTCCCCGCCGAGTGTGGGTGAGAAAAAAGCCAAGGAAAGTGACTGTGTTGGCAGTGTGGGACTCTATGAGGCCGAGAGCTTAGTAATGCGTCACCGTCAATCACAGGGCAACAGCGCCACTTCACCTAGCGGGCTGTCCAACGTCCAAAATCAACATGTTCCTGAGACTTCGGTCTCCCTACCTCAAAACGGTAGTTCTAGTAGTAGTAATAATAATAATAACAATAATAATAATAATAATAATAATAGAATTATTGGCGTCGGAATTAATAGTGTGATGGACCTGACGCGTAAGAGTCCCATATCGGCGTCGGCAGCGTCATCCGGTAACAACGGTCGGAGCAGCGTGTCCCCTGGTGCTAGCCCCTCACCGGGGTCTACGCTGAGCCCCCTACTGTCGGCTGCAGTGGCAGCAGGTAACGCGTCGAATTCCCTGCCATATCCTCAACCACCGCCCAATTTCCTGACGGGCACGACAATAGGAGTCTGTCCGGACCACATGGGCGGGCGTCCCAGTGGCGTCGAGTGCGCCAAGTGCGAGCTCATTCTTAGTTCCTCCCGCCTAGGGGGCGTCGGCGGCCCCCTGGCCGGCATGCACTCTCGCAATTCCTGCAAGACCCTCAAGTGCCCCAAGTGTAACTGGCATTACAAGTACCAGGAGACACTGGAGATCCACATGAAGGAGAAGCACCCAGAAACGGAGACTTCGTGCATCTACTGCATCGCGGGTCAGCCGCACCCGAGGCTGGCTCGCGGCGAGACCTACACTTGCGGTTATAAGCCGTACCGTTGTGAGGTGTGTAACTACTCTACGACGACGAAGGGTAACCTCAGTATCCACATGCAGTCCGATAAGCACCTCAACAACATGCAAGAGCTGCAGAACGGGGGTGTGACCAGCGGCGAGTCGGCCATCAGTGGCCCCGGCCTGCACAGCCAGGCGTCACAGTCAAGCAAGGGCGGTCTAGTGAGTCCAGGCTCTGGAGGTTCCGGGGGCTCGGCCACCGCTAGCAGTCACCATCACCACCCTCACACGCCTCTCAGTAGCGGGCCTTCTGGTGGTCAGAGTCAGAAGCCGAAGCCTACCTTTCGGTGCGATGTTTGCAACTACGAAACGAACGTGGCGCGGAATCTGCGCATTCACATGACGAGTGAGAAGCACACGCATAACATGATGGTACTGCAGCAGAACATGAAGCACATGCAGACACTGAACGTGTTACACCAGCACCATCCACACCAGCTCGAGACTCTGTTGCACTTCCATCCTGGTCTCACTCTACCCGGAGACAAGCCTCCACCTCACACTGAGGCTGCTCTCGCTGACATGGCCTACAATCAGGCACTGCTGATTCAGATGATGACGGGGGGCCAGCTGCCGCCACACATCCCACCAGAACTGGCCCCCCATATGGACATGGGTCTGAACCCCGAAACGATGGAGCCGCCACCCGAACCCGCAGACCCCAACCCTTCTCACCTGTTCCACTGTTGCGTCTGCAATGTGTTCTCCACGGACTCTCTGGAAGCCTTGTCACACCACCTGTCCGCAGACCGGACCAAGATTAGGGAACAGGAAATTCTCGCTGTGGTGGCTGGTCACTATGTCTGCAAGCTCTGCACCTACAAGACGAACCTCAAAGCGAATTTCCAACTGCACTGCAAGACGGACAAACATCTGCAGCGACTGCAGCACGTGAACCACGTGAAGGAGGGAGGTCCGAGGAATGAGTGGAAACTGAGGCACGTGGCGTCGCCAGGCGGTATACAAGTGCGGTGCCATGCTTGTGACTACTACACGAACAGTGCCCACAAGCTGCAACTGCACGCCGCCGGACAGCGCCACGAGGCGAGCTGTCTCCTCTTCATGCATCTCCGCGAGAGCGAGGCGCTCTCTGAGGCTCCCCGCATCTACCACTGCGCCCTCTGCGGCTTCTCCACCCGCACGAAACTGCAGTTGCTCCAGCACGTACGCTCCATGAAACATCTGCAGATGGAGCAGATCCATCAGCTGCAGCGGCGCAGCGAGGGCAAAGAGCTGCAGACAGATATCGGGGAGGTCTTCCAGGTCATCAGCCAACTGGATCCTCCGGGCTTTGGCGACAGTGAACCAGGTAAGGTAGCAGTGCTTACTTTGTTCAGATATGAGTTTGTAAGCCGCTTCTTCATCTTCACTTGAATTCGTAATCAGTAAACTACAGGTTACTTCATTCTTGGCTCTTGCTATGCATATTTTTTTTTTAATATGACATAAAGTAGCTTCAGTAATAAGACTGGGAGCAGAGTAAACTTTATTGAGATCAAAAATTATCCATAATTTTGTTATTAAACGGATGATAATGAAATGGACTACATTTTTTGGGGACTTAATCAGCATTCATTATTCCATAGAAGGACAGAAATTGAAATATCATAGTAGAAAAAACAGTGTTTAGTGTCTTTACCGCACGTACCAACAACTTTAACCTCCAGTAAGCCAGAATTCTGCTCAGAGATTGTATTCATATATTACATATGGGTTTCACAATAAACAGCGACTGTTTTCCTAAAGAACATTAACCAGTTGTTCTTTAAAGCGGAGGCATAATGTGTTTCTTGTGACGTACGAACTGAATCCTTATATATTATTTATGTGTTCCGTATGGTACTCACAGTAAACAGTGACTGTTTCCCTAAAGAGCATTAACCAGTTGGGCTGTTTGGCGGAGACGTAATATGTTTCCTGTGAGGTACGAACTGAGTTTTGACGAAATTCAAGTTTCAGAGGGTTAAGTAGCAAGGCCTATCGGTTTTCGCTATAAGATCTTGTGATGCTTGGACGTAACAATAAGATTGGAGAATTTGAAGATATTTATTTATCTTCGGGGATATAACGCCGTATTAGGTGGGTCCCTTGCCACCACGGCATGGCGCGTCCTCAGTTTGCGGATGGAGGAGACGACCTCCAGTTTTGCAAGGAAACTGTGAATATATTGAATTAGCAGTCGCGGACAGCCCACAAGGGGTGGTCCACCAGCTTGGGTGTTGAGAGTGGTGCTAACAAGTCACCTTAAAAAGTAAGCTTGTTATGAAATGTCACAAAAATCCTCGGACCTGGACGAATGGACAAACGACCTACCACTGGAAAGACCAAGACGTAGGTGGGTGGACAATATTAAATTGGATCTTATAGAGACAGGATGGGCTGGATCCATCTGGCTCAGGATAGGGATCAGTGGAGGGCTCTTGTGAACACGGTAATAAACCTTCGGGCTCCATAAAATGCTGGGAAATTCTTGAGTATCCGCACATTTGACGGCTTCTTAAGAAGGGATCAGGCCCGTGAAGTTAGTTGATTAATCCGTTGAAAGTCAACAGACGTTTGGGGGAACACATCGCGCTCATCTTCAGGGTTGTCGAATAATCCAAGATAGGTTCCGGCAAATACATGTAGCAAACAGCGGCGTTATGTCGCAGAAGACAGAACTGTTAATAACCACCGGTGTGAAGACCTGAGGTCCGACATGTTTGGAACATTTGTTGACGTATCACAGACGGGTGAAAGAAGACACGGAATTTTTGTTCGGAAACGCCTCTTGATCAATATAAGCAGAGACGAAAGATATAACTCCCATTGAGTGTTATGTGATCATTCGTATTTAATTTAAAAATTGGTTAGGCGGTTTGGTATATAATTGTGGTATCACGGCAGCGAGGAATACAAGGTTTAGAAACCCTATATAGACTGAAATCTTGTGTTCTGGCAAACAGTGGGACTTTTTTCGCTTAGTGGGAGGTGGAGTCCAACTAAGTCCACTCGGCACGTCTGCCACTGATTGGCCTATTGTAGCCTGCCCCGGGTGATTATAATGATGGAGAATTTGGTGGAATGAAGATTGGCAGGGGAAACCTCGGAGAGAACATGCCCCAGCGCCACTTCGTCCATCACAAATCCCACTTTACCAGACCTGGGATCGAACCCGGGCCGCCGCGATGGGAAGCCAGCAACTAACCGCTTGAGCTATGGCGCGGCCTTAGAGTGGAACTTTAATGACACTGTTGTCGTCCGAAATATATGTCTTGAGGCTCCTCTTGGTTTTAGGAATATAGGAAGCTGTGGGACACGGTTATTCAGTTTACACATAACAGTAGAACCAACACACATGCCTCGCTCGTCCTTCGTTTGGTGTACCATTCACGCTTCTCAGAATATGCCGTTTACAGTTTTTGAAGATTTTCCAACGTTTCTGCAAGCAGTGAAGTTGTCATCTTGCAGGATTAACTAATTAACCCTGAACTGCGATGTTTTCTGAAATATTTCCTGAACCTTAACAATTCTGGATGCTGTATTCAAGAATGCCGAAGTTACTCATTAAGCTCGAGGTTGTCAGAAAATAAACGCCCCCGTTTTCGAAAACGTAAATGGGTGTAATCGCTATGATATGTATAATGTAAAAATAATAATAACTTTCTGGTATATAGTATATCTACGAAATATTTCGTACAGGGAGATACATGTCGAACTTAGGACCCTTCTTTAGTGTATCATCAGTAACACATTTCGGATACGTTCAGAAAAAGTTGCTTACATTTACTTTGGAAGAAAATTAAATGGGTTCTCTGTGTTTTTGTAATAATGACCATGTTTCCATTTCAGTTCATTTTATTATACACTACGATATAGTTAGTTGGTTGAGGCATTATACTACAAGCTGGAAGGTCACGGGATCGATTTCCTTGAGGTTCTGGATTTTTCAGTTGGCATAATGCTTCCAGCCGCACTGTGTCCCTGGGGTCGACTCAGCCTCTAACATAAATGAGTACCAAGAATCTTCCTGTGGGTAAAGGGCGACCGACCTCACCGCCATCTGTAAGCGGATTGTCTAGAAAGCGTGGGAAGCCTCGACGTCTCGCAACCCTATGGGCCTCCAAGCACTGTTACAGGGATAAGCCTTTACTTTTACTTACTGCTCAGAAATACTTGAAGGTTTCAGCTGAAACTTTGCAGCACATCACAACCAAAGGCACAGCCTTTGTTGTAGGAACATTTACGCAGTAAAGTATTCTGAAAGGAGTTTTGCCCCATCCCGTCCAATAACTGACGCAGTGCAGATTAATTAGCAAGCTGATTGTAATGAACTGATTCAAGGAGTGTGTAGCTTCGAATACTTGGAGGATTAGTGAATAATGAAACAGGAAAGACACAGAAAGAAGCGGTTGTGTACTAATTTGGGGTGTTATCTTGTCATTTGTCCACAAGGCCTGAGGAAAACCACGAAATTACCCAGTCATTATAACCGATCTCGGGGCTCAGATTTAACCCGGCGACCTCCAGAATATGAAGGCGAAGTGATCCTCAGCCGACCGTGGCGCAAGCAGTGGTCTGTTTCAGTCTCTCAATTCACATGAATAAATAAATTACTTTAAACAGTATCGTGGTTGGGGACTGTGGTCTGAAGACCCCCAGAGCCGTCAGTAAAGTGTGGTCGTGAGTCCTATGGAGTTCGAAACAAAGAATCACTGTGCTGGCGAGTGTCAACAGCAATTTAGCATGCAGGCATGATATATCATGGTATGAATGAAAGTGGGCGTGGTCTCATTAAGTCACTATTCGTGAATTTGCCTGGAGATGCTCGGCAAGCCTCAGAAAATCTCAAAGGAGCAGAAGTCCGGGCCCAGATTCGAACCTAGCACTGCCCGAATACGAGTGTGAAGTGTTACAGCTTCCTCAACCCTCTCGGATGAAGCCATTTGGTGGATAGGTTCCAAAGTTTCGGAGGAATCAACTGTCTTCATGTTCTTCCGAGAAGATTAAGGGAGCAGATATCTCTGAAACGTCACAACATGATGCCATCATGTCACAGAATACCATATTCTAGCAACGTGTTTGAATATTTAGGCAAGGGGCAGATTGGATCGTTACGAAAACTAAAGATGATGCTCGGTAGCTTAGTCAATAAGTCGAAAAGCTAGGGGCTGAACATACGACTAAAAATGGCTCGAGTCCCAGCAGCCCCCCCCC